ATAATATGTATCCACCATTCAGGTATCTTATAAAATATTTTCACTGTCCTAAAAATCTGTGCTCTCCCTCTTCATCACTCCCTGCTTTCCTTTCAATCCCTCCTCTTTTTCCTGTCTCTGTCGTTTTGCCTTTTCCAAAATGTCGTAGAGTTGGAACCATATGATATCTAGCCTTCCAAGTCTGGTGTCTTTCAACTAGTACTATGCATTTAAGGTTCCTCCATGTCTTTTTGTGGCTTGATAGCCCATCCCTTTCTATCACTGAGAAACATTCTGATATGGTTTGGCTGTGTCCCTGCCCAAATCTCATCTTGAATTGTAGTTCCCATAATCCTCACGTGTTGTGGGAGGGATCTGGTGCGAGGCAATTGAATTATGGGGGTGGTTATCTCCACTTTTTTCTCATGACAGTGAGTGCTCATGAGAGCTGATGGTTTTAAAGGGGCTTCCCCTACTTTGCTCTGTACTTCTTCTTGCTACCACTATGTGAACAAGGACATGTTTGCCATGATTGTAAGTTTCCTGAGACCTCTCCAACCATGCTGAACTGTGAGTCAATTAAACCTGTTTCTTTTATAAATTATGCAGTCTTGGGTATGTCTTTTTTAGCAGCATGAGAACCGACTAATACATATTCCATTGTAAGAATACAGCACAGTTACCTCTTGAAGGACATCAAGATTGTTTCCAATTTTTTGGCAATTATGAATAAAGTTACCAGAAACATTTGTAGGTTTTTGTGCAGACAGAACTTTTCTACTCATTGGGGTATATCAAGGAGTGTGAATGCTATATCACATAGTAACGGTTCATTTAGTTTTATGGGAAACTCTCAAATTGTCTTTCAAAGTAGCCGTACCATTTTGCATTTCCACCAGCAGAGGACGAGAGTTCCTGATGCTCCACATCCTCACCAGCATTGGATGTTTTGGATTCTAGTCATGCTAATAGGTGTGCAAAGGTATCTCACTGTTGTTTTAATTTAGCCCTAATGACATGTGATGTTGAGCGTCTTTTTGCCCTTTGTGTATGTTCTTTGGTGCAGTGTCTGTTCAGATCTTTTGTCCATTTTAAATTGGCTATTTTATTATCAAATTGGCTGTTTTATTATTCCCTTTGGCTACTGGTCATTGGCTGACATAATAAAAACTCTGCTGGTGGAGTGTGCACAATAGGACGGTCTCTTAGATATGCACGTCTTCTTGTTGGGGGTGGTATGCAATAGCAGGCACCAGGCCATACCAGATTAAGCCCTCTGGACAGTTTGAGATACTCTCTGGTATTTTCTTACACATGGTCAAGGATTCTAGATTGCTCAGGCAGCAAAAATTTGGTGTTAACAGATCCTGTCTAGAAGACACTTAAATTTTACAATGAATACTACAGGGTACCAAGAGTATTTCATTACAGCCACAGTTAGGACAAACTATGAAGAAGAAACTGAGCTATAGAAATACCTATTCAACTTTAACTCTGGGATACAGGATTTAGGGTCTAAATATATTAGGATTGATTATGACAGCTGCAGAATTCATTTCTAGGGACAAATGTAAAAGTATAGACATTCTTGGAAATTATCATGATATTGCTGTTTTTCTCTATACCACTTTTCCTTGAGGGGGCCAAGTTACCTTAGAAAGTTCTTGTCATTGCTTAGTTAACACCACAGCCAGCAAACAGAGATATACAGCTTATGTGTTTGGCTGAAGAAACAGCACTAGGTGCTCCCTTAGGAGAAACTTTCTGTTAATGTCCCTGTCATCATCACCTTTGTCAATTGACAGTAAGGACTCAAAATGCTAAGAACAAGATAAACACCAGCACCTGTATGGCAGACATGGCCTTTGGACAAGTATCAGCACTTCACAAGTGCCTGAAGTCACTTAAACATGTTTAAATTTTCAAAATGCCAAGAAGTATTACCTCTAAAGTAATACAAGAAGTTATAATGTAAGAAAAAGAAATACACCATGGAATATTATGCAGCCATCAAAAACGATGAGTTCACGTCCTTTGTAGGGACATGGATGAACCTGGAAACCATAATTCTCAGCAAACAGACACAAGAGCAGAAAATCAAACACCGTATATTCTCACTCATAGGCGGGTGTTGAACAATGAGAACACATGGACACAGGGAGGGGAGTACTACACACTAGGGTCCGTTGGGGGGAAATGGGGGAGGGGCGGGGGGTGGGGAGGTGGGAAGAGATAGCATGGGGAGAAATGACAGATGCAGGTGAGGGGACGGAAGGCAGCAAACCACACTGCCATGTGTGTACCTATGCAACAATCTTGCATGTTCGTCACATGTACCCCAAAACCTAAAATGCAATAAAAAAAAAAAAAGAAAGAAATGGTTGAAGGTAGGGTTGGTTTAGGTGAATGCCATTCTCAGAGGCACATGACAACCCGAAGCTCTATTTTCCTCTAGAAAATAAGTGATGACAAAGTAGAGCATGTCCTTTTCATTGCAAGTGATAGAAAGGCCCTTATCAACATCTTCAAGTTCAACAAGGGAGATGGCGCCAATAGCTTCTGGGTGGTTTCTGCCTCCAGACCCCACTTGGGATGACTTTCTAGTTGGAAGCCTAGTGAAGGATGTGGTGGAGGCCTCTTAGATAACACTCATATTTGCTGCTTGCTGACTGGAGATATGAAAGACTAGGGCCCGACTTGCCCTGGATAGAGGGTAACAGAGCAAGACCTAATCTCAAAAAAAAAAAAAAAAAGGAACGAGAAGAAAAAAGTACAGGGCACAGTGGCTCACACCTGTAATCTACAACTTTGGGAGGCCTAGGTGGGCAGCTCACTTGTGTTCTGGAGTTCGAGACAACCCTGGACAATATGGCACAATTTCTCTCTCCCAACAATACAAAAATTAGCCAGGTGTGGTGATGTGCACCTGTGGTCCCAGCTATTTAGGAGGATGAGGTGGGAGGATCGCTTGAACCCAGTAGGTTGAGGCTGCAATGAGCTGTGACCACACCACTGCCGGGTGACAGAGCAAGACCTAATCTCAAAATAACAACAACCAAAAAAAAAAAAAAAAAAGAAGAAGAAGAAAAGAGCTGTGCATATTGGTTCATGCCTGTAACCCAGTACATTGGGAGGCTGAGGCAGGCAGATCACTTGAGTTCAGGAATTCAAGAGCAGACTGGACAAATGGCAAAACCCCATCTCTACCAAAAATATAAAAAATTAGCCCAGCGTGGTGGTGTGAACCTACCATCCCAGCTATTCAAGAAGTTGAGGTGGGAGGATTGGTTGAGTCCAGAAACTTGAGGCTGCTGCAAGCCCAGGCCTCCAACAAAGGCACACAAAAAGCTTAGGCAATGGAGTAGGGGGGTGTTTGAGGTGGGGCCAGCTGTCATCTCTGTGCGCATGAGCGTCTCAGAGCATAAAGCAGACGGGGGCGGTGCAGAGGAGCCGGCGTGGTGTAGTCCTCTTGGGTTGCCAGGAGGATCCAGGCCACGAAAGTTGAACGAGGCTAGCGATGCGCCCCCCAGATGTCCAGGGAACAACGTGAATAAGCATAGGAACATAATGTATTGACTCGTTTCTGGAGGTTGCTTAAAACAAACAAAATAAAAGTCCTCCTTAATGTCCTTGCAACAGCTATGCACATAACCTCATAATCCTTTTTCTCCATGAACAGTGAAACTCAAACTGAATTTTGAGTAGCAAAGCAAGTTAATTCTCAATTCTAATCTTTTCAGAATTCAAAAGAGAGAAAATTCAACATGGCATTTAACAATTGCATTGCTATCTGAAGCTGAAATATGTACGTATATAAACAAACCTTTGGAGACTTTCTATTTTGGTCTGACTCTGAAGGTAGTTGAGGATAAAATTGTACGGTATCCTTATCAATCTTGATTTGTCTTTCATGCTCTGAACCTATTATTTATTCTAATTATAGTTAAATAAATATTATTTGCTAGTGCCTTGTCTGCATTTAAATAAATCTACAGAAGAAAACAATATAGCATTCAAAATAGAAAGAAATATTTGAGGTTGTCCTATAGTTGCTGGTAACCATTGTTCAATTTCATCTACAAAGTTTTCTGGTGTTAATTAAGAATATTCATTAATGTTACTCTGAGGCACACAGTTTAACATTAATAAGGAAGAAAGCCAGCTAAATTATTACATGCAGCTCCAATGTTATGTCATTAAAAGTATGGGCTGATTTGAATTTCAGCCATAGGAATGTTAGTTAGTGAAAGTCAACAACCAAAGCAGGTAGGACACCGTGGCTCATGCCTATAATCCCAGAACTTTGGGACGCTGAGGCAGGCGGATTGCTTGAGCTCAGGAGTTTGAGACCAGCCTGGGCACCATGGTGAAACCCTATCTCTATCAAAAATGCAAAAAATTAGCCAGGCATGGTGGCACATGCCTATTGTCCCAGCTACTTGGGAGGCTGAGGCGGGAGGATGGCTTGAACCTGGAAGGCAAAGGTTGCGGTGAGCCAAGATCATGCCACTGCACTCCAGTCTGGGCCACAGAGCTAGATCCCATCTCAACTGCCCCACCCCCCAACAAAGAAAAAACGAGAAAGAAAGAAGGAAGGAAGGAAGGAAAAGAAAGAGAGAGAAAGAAAGAGAGAGAAAGAAAGGAAAATCAGAGCAGGAATAACATTCGGACTGACACCTTTACTATAAAGCTAGAAAAAGGTAAGCAATAAAACATGAAAAACTGTTTTGTTGCAGTGTTTTTTCTTTCAAATGTATACAGAAGCAGCAGGCACCTCAAATACCAAGACAGTAGGCAAGCGATGTCACGGTGGAAAAATGTATGGTTTTATAAATCAAGTCTGGTGCTGTCCAGGTCTACTCATCCTACCCCAAAGTGGCAATCTTTTCTTAACGAATTCACCACGGTACTGTGGGCCACACCTGGGGTCACTGCAGTCTTTCTCTAACTTTGGTAGGGCACCCCTCACTTCCCACGGATGGAGAAGATGGATTCAGGATGGGAGTGTGATGCTTGCTTACCACAGGCCTGTGCACATCCCAGAACGCTCTCTCTTGGCTGTCAAGGATCTTCCTTTCAATCTTGTCTCTCTTCTTGTCCACCCTGTCAACACGGTAACAATGGACAGCATTTAGTGTTAAAGGTAGTGCCTTTCTGGACAAAAGGCCACAACTTGAACAAATCTTCCAAAAGACTCACAAGGACTCACTTTGCTTGTGCTTCTGCTTGCATGAAAATGAACTCCCACTTCCGGGCAAATGCTCTCTGCAGCCTGGCCAGGCTCTCCTGAAAAACACACCTCAGGTGAAGACATTCGGGTGTTCATCTTCACTGCTCTCTTCTAGCTTAGTTATCACTTGTATTTGTCAAGGAAACAGACAGAGAATCTCTAAAGTACAAGTGTACTGTGGTTCTGAATGATAAGTCATGCTCCCTGAATTCAGCTCATCTTCGTATTGGCAGTCTTAGAGGAAGTAGAAAAACCTAATACAAATATGAATTTTTTGAATTACTGACTTTGGAGAACAGGACTAAAAATCCAGTATGTATCTGCAAAATACTAAAATTACCTGGCCCGTAAGGAGGTGCTCTAGATGAACCCATTGGCTTTTTCTGTATCTACTTTGTAGAGGAACAGAACAGCAATATACTCCTACTACAAATGCAATCAGTTTATTCAGTTCCTGACAGTAAATGTAACACCCTGGCAGCCCACAACCTATTCCTACACAGTGCTTTGAATTCAGTAAACCGAAACATAGCAACCATCTGCACAAATGACATCAGCTTACTTTTATCTGCTGATGATCACCATCAGCAGATAAAATTTTGGCAAAACCCACTCTTTCCCAGGGTAGATGGTCTTTAATCCTCAGAGTTTGAGTATCTTCACTATCTATGTATCTGACATTTCAACAGTTAAGTTGATTTTAGAAAATAAGATATGCTTCCCTCTTAGAGTTTATGTTTTTAGGGTTTTGACACATGCAGTGAGAAGGAAGAGAGGAAGTAAGCAAACAGGGACTCATGAACATAGAGTGCTGCCAGATCCCTGGAAATCTGACCCTTCAGATCCATGAATGAGGCTGGGCACAGTAGCTCACGCCTACAATCTCAGCAATTTGGGAGGCCGTGGTGGGTAGATCAACTGAGGTCGAGAGTTCAAGACCAGCCTGGCCAACACGGTGAAACTCAGTCTCTACTAAAAGTACAAAAATTAGCCGGGCATAGTGGCGCATGCTTGTAGATCCAGCTACTCGGGAGGCTGAGGCAGGAGAGTCGCCTGAACCTAGGAGGCAAAAAGTTGCAGTGAGCTGAGATCACGCCACTGCACTCCAGTCTAGGTGACAAGAGCGAAATTCCATCTCAACAGAAAGAAAAAAACAAGAAGAGGGCCAGCGCGGTGGCTCCCAGCACTTTGGGAGGCCAAGGCAAGTGGATCACGAGGTCAGGAGTTCGAGACCAGCCTGGCCACTATGGTAAAATCCCACCTCTACTAAAAATACAAAATTAGCTGGGTGTGGTGGTGCATGCCTGTAATCCCAGCTACTCAAGAGGCTGACGCAGAAGAATTGCCGGAACCCAGGAGATGCGAGGTTGCAGTGAGCCAAGATCGTGCCACTGCACTCCAGCAGCCTGGGTGACAGAGTGAGACTCCATCTCCAAAAAAAAAAAGAAAAAGAAAAAAGATCCATGAATGGAGAGTTAACAGCCTGCCAGCCTGCCCAGAAAAGCCCGTGGGCCTTACTGCTGTGCATTCTACGACAGTCTTTCCCAGAAGGTCCTTGGTACTTACAGCTTCGTAGTCTGCGAGCTCCAGCCGTGCCTTGTTTTGCATTGTTCTCTTGCACAGGTAAACAGCTGAAAGAAAAAAAATCAATAATTTCTTGCCTGCTTATCAACACCATGGCGCTGTGAGTACAAGTACAGCATCGTAAATCAAGACGCTGGCACCACTGTCCCACATGGCAATTTTCAATCATTTTCTTAGACAAAGAATAATGAGGTAATAACATTACTATTGAAATTAAAGCACTGTGCCATTTATGGTATCTTAAAAAAATAAATAAGCTAAGAAACTTGGTAACTTTCTTTTTTTAGAGACGGTCTTACTCTGTCACCCAGGTTGGAGTAAGTGCTGGGTAAGATCCTTGTTCACTGCAGCCACAAACCCCTAGGATCAAGTGATCCTTTCTCCTCAGCCTCCTGAGGAGCTGTGATTATAGGTGCGAGCCACCAAGCCTAGCTAATTTTATTACTATTATTATTTGTAGACAGGCTTCTCGCTTTGTTGCCCTGGCTGGTCTTGACCTCCTGAGGTCAACTGATCCTTTTACCTTGCCCTCTCAAAGTGCTGATATCAGACGCATGAGCCACCGTGCCTGGACTATTTATAAAATGTTTATTAAATGGTCATCACCGTTTTTAGCATCTTCGACAAATAAGGGGAGAAAATAAAACCTTTTAAAAGAGTCACCAAAGGAATTTAAAAATCCATATATATAAACAAAATCGTTTTGCAAAAAGGAAATGATGAATGAGTGGCACATTCAGTGGTTCCCAGATTCCACTGTCAACTGAAAGCCTTTGTTCGTGTACACTGAAGGCCTCCTGGCATCTTCTTTGCTTCATTTCAGAAGAGCCAATCTTCCATTGTTCTGTCACTAGGAGGAGGATATGACATCTTACCAACCTTCCATAGAATTTCTTTTTTCCTGAGGATTCAGTGGCCTGGGCTACCATGCAAAGCCCGTCTGGGAAGCAGATGTATAGAACAGTGACGACAGTGTTTCAATTGAGCAAATTTCTTGAATTATTTCAAGGTATTCTAGTGACCCCCACGGCAACCTCAAGACAGTCACAGCCCTCTGGTAGAGTCCTAATTGCCAGAATATTTTTGTCATTGCTCTCCACTCAATAGGTATGATATTTGAGTCTCATGAAACTCATGATAAATTATATCTGTCCCAGATGCTGAGTAAAGGCATTGGATGAGGATTGTAAGGTGACCTCTATGAGGCTGCCTTGGAAATATCGCCTTTGCATTACACTGCACCACCCTTAGTTTTGGATAACGATGTCCAGCTGGTATCATTAAGGAAACACCCAACACAGAAAATTTGAGATCAGTGCAAACAGGGATACTATTTACTCAAGTTCTCTAAGGTTTCCTGTATGAAAGTTAAAGCAAAGGAGACAGGCAACCACAGAATGATGCTGACATTCCTACAAACGCTAAGAACCCTGTGATTAGTATTAGAACACATCTTTCTATTTTTTTTTTTTTGAGACAGAGTCTCGCTCTGTTGCCCAGGCTGGAGTGTTACGGCATGGTTTGGGCTCACTGCAAAATCCGCCTCCTGGGTTCAAGCGCTTCTCCTGCCTCAGTTTCCTGAGTAGCTGGGATTATAGGCACCTGTCACCATGCCTGGCTAATTTTTTAAATTTTTAGTGGAGATGGAGTTTCACTATGTTCGCTAGGCTGGTCTCAAACTTCTGACCTCATAATCCACTCAACTTGGCCTCCCAAAACTCTGGGATTACAGGCGTGAGTCACGGCGCTGGGTCAGAACACCTCTTTCTGATAATTTTATTGTTCTACTAATATTAATAATTATTAAAAGTTAAACTTCAAAAACAAAAGTGACATGACATGTTCATTTCCTTATTGGTTGTAACTGACACTCATTCCCGAAGGACCTTGTACTGTAGAGGCCACTGTGACTTGAATAAAATATCTAAAATGTTCTAAGCAGTTGTAAAAGAAATTGGAGCGTATGTGAGATACCCTGAGGGTGTCTCTTTGTGAGAGAAAGATCAAATCTTCTTAAACATCTAATTGAATAATTTCAGCTTTCCTGCGGAATTACCTCTAACGAAACTTCAAGCCCCAGCTATGCCTTCCATCAATCACCCCTCCTGTGCCCTCCTGCATTGGCTTCTCCTTGCTTTATTGGTTCTGCCCATCCAATCTTTGTTCTTCGCAAAATCAGCTCCCTCTGGGGAAATGTTTCTCACCATTAAGTACACTAATGCATTAAAGCAAGAGTGGGACAATTTTATTTTTTACATGACTGCTCACAAAGACATTATGCATCCTGTAATACCGGTGTCCTATGATGTGATTTTCTTTAATTCTCTAGGGAAGAAAATGAAGGTGTGGGCAGACAGTGCCAGGCATAAAGTAGTGGTGTCACATATAGTTGTTGAATGAGTGAATTAAAAAATGAAAGAATAGGATAGCTTCAGAAGGAGCTATTTTGAGGTCAAACCAACTTAAGTGATAAAATCTCCCTAAATGTCTACTTGATTCTTTGGCATAAAGAAAGACAAGAAGCTGGGCATGGTGGCTCGCTTCTGTAGTCTCAGCTACACTTGGGAGGCTGAGGAAGGAGGATCATTTGAGACCAGTAGTTCGAGGTTGCAGTGAGCTATGATTGCACCACTGTACTCCAGACTGGCCAACAGAGCGAGACTCTGTCTCTTAAAAAAATAAAAAAAGAGGAAAAAGGTACAACTCTGAGTTAACAGTGTAGAGAATCATCTGGTTACTGTTGAAGACAGAGCAGATATGCTCTTTACTGGAGAGGACCAGACCTCATCAATCTAGTCCAGATACAGTTGATGGATGTTGATAGGTACAGATAATACTTTTTATTCTTTATCGACAAAGAGTACTAGCATTGGTCAAGATGTGGATGAAGCAGAAGGTCCAAGTAGATCAAAGAGGATTCCAACTCAGGAAATTTCCCAGTTCATTCAAGATTGACTACGCAGTTATGCATAGTCAAAAACTATAGCTCAGGCCAAGGTTTTTGTGCCAATCCTAATTATTGAGGCACTGAACATGCTCTGTGTGGTGCTATATAATAGACCCAGGCCCAGATCCAAAAGAGTGAATCTTTTTTAACATAACCCTGAATATTTCCTGCTGTGACAAAATACTGAAAATATCAACTAATGATGCCATTTCTGGGGTTCTATTTAAAATGCTTTCTATTATTGAAAATTTCAATACCAAGTTTAAATATATCTCCTTGCAGTAGTTTTCTGGGAGATCATAAGGAGACAATCTGGAAGACTTAGGAGGTCAAACAAGTAATTTAACAGGAGGCTATGCCACTCAGTGGGAGAAAGTTTAGGAAGGCCGGAAGTGCCACTCCGGCTACAAATGCTGCAGAGATAAGGCATAGATTTTGACCCAAATGCAACGTAGAACTTAGATGGAAAAGTCAACGTTTCTGGATCACATCTTTGAGTAGAAACTGAATAGAAAGTAAGTGCTGACATCAGGTCTTCCCCTTTAATCTAATAAAGCTCTAGAGAAGCTGGAGAGGTCGCTTAGACAGACACTGATGGCCATGACGAAAGTGTAAAGGCACATCACACAGGCCAACGAGAAAATCTCTAAGCCCCAGTATCAAAAGGTGGAAAGAACAGGAATATCTCATTCACCAAGACTAGAACTACAAAACTCTAATAAATATTTCTAAATTACCCAACTTACAACCCAGGTAATCCAATTAACTTACATTGTCATGCCATTCTACTTTCTTTTTTTAATCACTTAATGTTTAGTTTGTGGCTAATTCTTCCCTTGTTCCTGAATTTTAAAGTCAGGCAGTTTGTACAACCTCGGCTCTCACGCTTGGGTAATTCAAAGAGTCCCAAGTTATTTGAGAGGCAGTTGGGTCATGAGGGTGGAGCCTTCCTTCAGGAGATTAGTGCACTTATTAATAGACTCGAAGGAGCTGGTTCACCCTTCCACTACGTGAGGACACAGTGAAACGGTGCCGTCCATGCACCAGAAAGTGGGCCCTCCCCAGACATCAAATCGGTTGACATTTTAATCTTGGACTTTCCAACCTCTAGAATTATGAGAAATAAACATTTGCTGTTTATAAACAAAACAAAACAAAAGGGTACCAAGTTACTATTATTATTATTTTGAGACCGAGTCTCGCTCTGTCTCCCAGACTAGAGTGCAGTGGCATGATCTCGGCTCACTGCAAGCTCTACCTCCTGGGTTCAAGCAATTCTCCTGCCTCGGCCTCCTGAGAAGCTGGGATTACAGGCACCTGCCACCACGCCCGGCTAATTTTTGTATTTTTAGTTGAGACAGGGTTTTACCATATTGGCCAGGCTGGTCTTGAACTCCTGAGCTCAGCTGATCCACCCAGCTCGGCCTCCCAAAGTTCTGGGATTACAGGCATGAGCCACCATGTCTGGCCGGTTACCAAGTTATTAACGAGAATGTTCATCTCAAGTAATGATCAAATAATCATGCAGCTTGAGGGTGAGAAGAAGTGTTAATGACTTTTTTCTCTCCTCCCCAACTCCTTCTGTGATTCCTGCCAAGAACCATGAACTGAGGACTAATCTTCCAGGGGCTGGAGTATAGGAGAGGAATGGGCAACACTGACTTTCTTATAATATTTTTCATTGAAATAGAACTTCATTATATTTGATGGAGAATTTGAATTTCATTGTTGAGATCATTAAATCTGGTGTGTAACAAAAATAAATATGTGCTTCACAGGAGCTTTCCTTTATTTTTATTTTAAAATTCTAAAAATAGTTTATTTATATTTTTCGTGGACAAACGAAAAATTGCACATATTTATGTTGTACTATGTGATATTTTGATATGGGCTACACCCTTTGGAATGACTAAATCAAGCTAATTAACATTTTCATCACTTTACACTCTTACCACTTTTTGTGATGAGAACTTTAAAAATGTACTCTGGATGGGTGTGGTGGCTCATGCCTGTAATCCCAGCACTTTGGGAGGCTGAGGCTGGCGGTTCACTTGAGCTCAGGAGTTCAAGATCAGCCTGGCCAACATAGTAAAAACTAAT